CTGGGTCTGCCTCTGCACCGACGGGTGGTTGCTCAATGATTTACCTAACTCCTAACATCTCTAAGGAAATATTTGCGGTGGAAGTCACCAGAAACCATACATTGTTTGTTTTGCTCCCCAATTATTCTGGATGTCCTTGATGTCATCACTTCTCTTTCCAGCTGTAAAGCCCTATATATGAGGGTGGGTGATGCAGGTCATCTTCAGAAGACAGGGACATCAGCTGGAGACAGCCTTTCACTCAAGAGCTTGGTCAGGTAAGAGCAAACTTATTCCTCAAAAAGTGTGCTCTTAGCTTCTGCCTCTGCAGACCTGAATGCTTCTCAAAGAAGAATCCTTAACGTTTGTTTGAGAGTATTGGCTTTTTAACAAAAATTGTTATTTTTGCCTGCTGCCTGCCTGAATTATGCTTTGCCAAGTAAAATGTGTGGTGGCTTTCACTGTGTGTTTCTCAAGAAGAGACATGTATGTTCATTGTATTTGCAGTCCTTGAAGAAGAGAGGGTATTTCATGGTTTTCATAAACAATTATCACTTAAATTATTTTTGGTATAACTCCGTTAGCTGAGATAGATTTTTACCTAAGGTGAATTAGACCTCTCACGCTTGTTTTGATCCCTTTTTGATGTGCTATTTACATTTAAATAGATTTGGGGCAATGAAGTTCATTATGGTTCTTTAAAAAAAACAAAACGAACAAGCTACTTCAAGTTGTAGGTCCCAGAGAAATATTTCAATGACATTGAAACTTTTAAAATTATTTTTTCCTTCTTACAATCCTAGCAAAAGGTGGTTTTATGCTGAATGAAGCCTTGGATGTTTGACTTTTGTGCAGAGATTCGGACAAGGAGATACTCGCCTTACTAGATATGTTGGTGCATTTGTCCTTTGTAGGTGCCAGTGCTTTTCTTTCTGTGACTTGAGACAATCGTGTTGTCAGAAATGTCCTGTTTTCCCATCAAGTGGGATACAGGACCTTGTTTCTTGGAGAAATTCCCAGAACAGATGCTCCCCCAATCATCCAGATCAGTCTCCAACACTGCTCACGGGTGCTCAGGGATTAAAGCAGGAGCAACCACTTGCTTTTCACTCAGCCTCTGTGGCGGTTGGTCTTTGGAGAAACTGCTGTTGAAGTTCTAGTTGCTCCTGCAGGAAGGTGTCATCAGGAGTTTTACTCTGCCCACCAGTGGGGTGAGGAAGCAGGAGAGATGCCAGCAGCTTCCTCTCTGATTTTGTTTTCCCTGACAAGCATTCCTCCTTTTGCTTTCCTCTATCTTCGTCTTTTCTCCCTCCGCTGACTTGTGCTCACTGTCCCAGCATTGCACTGATGCCAATCACTTTCCACAGTTACCAGGACCAAAGATGTCTGCCTTCTGGGCTGTTTTCCTCCTCTGCAGCCTGCTGATCCCTTCACAAGGACTTGGAATCATGGCCTCGATTGCCCAATCAAATGTAGATGGTAAGTGTATGGAAGATACGGGATTTCTCTTTTTTTTGAGACCAGTTCTGCTGGTTCTGTCTCGGGACCATGCTCTGAAAATCAGAAGCTGGTCCAGATCTGTTCATCAATAGTGGAAATACTGACAATTTGCATTTATAAAGCACATTGGAGGTGGTGCTTCAGACATCTTTCAGTGCCAGGTGCCACCACCTCGGTTGTACAAAGAAGAGAAGAGAGGGACAGTGAAGGGGAAAGAACAGCCAGGTTGAGACAACATGCTTGTATGTTGAGTCCACATAGTTCACAGTGACGTCTCATCCTTTTTTCCATATATTACAGATCCACTGCTCCAACCTGACCTCCGGAGCCTTCAAGATGGTCTCCTTGGTAGCAATCTGCTCGGCAGTGTCCTTGGCAAAGATGGTCCCGTTGGCAGCCTCCTGGGCCCTGTTGGTAGTCTCCTGGGCAAAGATGGTCCCGTTGGCAGTCTCCTGGGAAAAAATGGTCCTGTTGGCAGTCTCCTGGGCAAAGATGGTCCCGTTGGCAGCCTCCTGGGCCCTGTTGGTAGTCTCCTGGGCCAAGATGGTCCCGTTGGCAGTCTCCTGGGCCAAGATGGTCCTGTTGGCAGTCTCCTGGGCAAAAATGGTCCCGTTGGCAGCCTTCTGGGCCCTGTTGGTAGTCTCCTGGGCAAAGATGGTCCCGTTGGCAGCCTTCTGGGCCCTGTTGGTAGTCTCCTGGGCAAAGATGGTCCCGTTGGCAGCCTCCTGGGCCAAGATGGCCCTGTTGGCAGTCTCCTGGGCAAAGATGGTCCTGTTGGCAGTCTCCTTGGCAATGATGGCGTGGTTGGCAGCCTTCTCGGCAAAGATGGTCCCGTTGGCAGCCTCCTGGGCCAAGATGGCCCTGTTGGCAGTCTCCTGGGCAAAGATGGTGTCGTTGGCGGTCTCCTTGGTGGAGATGGTCTCCTTGGTGCTCTCCTTGGCAGAGATGGTGTCCTTAACAAGCTCCTTGGCAAAGGTGGTCTTGTTGATAGTCTCCTTGATGCTATTCTTGATCTTCTCATTGGCAAAGGTGGTCTCCTTGGCAAAGATGGTCTCGTTGGCAATCTTCTTGGTGGAAATGGTGGAGATCTCACAGGGTGAGTGAGAGTGGGAAATGGGTGTCCTGAAGTAGCCCTTAGTGCACCTGGACCATGCTGGGGAAAGGAGGGTCTGGTCTGGACACATTGGGCCCCTTTTTTCCTGTTCATAAAAGAAGGTTCAGCAGTTGGGGGTTTCTGCATGTGCCTGCCATGCAAGTGTGCCTTCCATGTGCTGTATGCTGCTCCTGGGTGATAGGGATCCCTGCTGACCCAGGGTGGAGGGGATGCCAAGACAGCGGCTCTGCAATCACCCACAGTGCTGGGGCTGAGGGGACAGGGCATCCACTGTACAAATGTGTTACTTACTGCCTTTTCCTTGCTTCAACCATCCAGGGCGAAAATTCTGAACAACACCCTCCCCAAAATAAGTCTGCAGTCCCTGCCAGGCTTTGGAAGCCAAGTGAGCTTCAGCACCCAGCTGCTGGTGGAGGGCACCGGGTACGGCATGTCTGTCGGGGGCATGGCTCGGGGTGGTGGGGGGGTGTCACCATTGCTTTGGAAAATAGATGGCCAGCAAGTTTGCTGAGCTGTGTACCGTGTTTCCCCCCATGCAGTCTGCCGGGCAGTCCTCTCTGCGTGCAGGTGGAAGCGGATGTGACCATGCTGGTCCAGCACCAGTGGGCGGGTCCCCAGAACAATGGCTGCAAGGTTTTTGACATAAACATCAGTCTGAGGTAGGCATCCCTGTGGGGCAGCATCCCTGTGAGGTCTGCATCCATGTGAGCGAGGTGCTCATGGCCAGCACATGGCCCCTGCGGCGGTGGGAAACCTTGGCCCTGTTGGCCATCGAAGGCAGCACCTTTGTGCCTGAGCCTGCTGGCCTCGGAGGGGAACTGCCGACCTTTCTTTCAAAACTTCAGCTCAAGAAAGAATATTTCTGGGTTGTGCTGGAGACCTAGCACCAGGCTGGATTCAAAGGGCTTGGTTTTGGTAACATTTTGGCACTGAATATGGTCCTGGACAGTGCAAGCCTCATGTTTCTCTTGCGTGAAGTGCTTATATTTTCCAGCTATTAATCTATGTCACTTTTTATTTCCTATTTTCCCATTACCCAGACCCAATGTGCCGCTTCTGGAAGAGCCTTTAAAACGCCTCCTTAGTGATTCCCTGAGTCAGGTGGTAAGTCTGCAAAGCCATCTTCATGTGAGCCATCAGGGCAGGCAGGAGGCCAGGCTACCCCTGTGGCCGTGGCTGTTTGCACAGCTGTGGGCTCAGCTGGGGCAGCCAGCCCGTCCTCCCCACCTGCGGGCACCTGCCCCATCACCTGTGCCAGGATGCACCAGCAAACAGGTTTCTGAGACACGTGCTGGTTTAATGGTCACAGTGGGCAAGTCTTGCCCAGGAGGATAAACCCACCCTGGCTTAGAGGGGCTGCTCGCCCTCCTAATGCTGAGCGCTGCTCTAATGGGGCATCCAACCAAACCCTGCCCAGCTCCTGAAAACCCAGCAGAGCCAGTTTTTGCTACTCGTGTTACTGCTCTACTACTCGTGTAGCTGTTCTGGTGCTGTGGGTCCCAGCTCTCAAACTTCCCTCTTCCACCCCCCAGGCCTGCAACATCATCAACGCCAGACTCAAGGTGGTCAACAACATGATGGGCTCCAGGACCCGTAAGTGCTGGCACCCCCCTCCTTCCCTCTGACCCTTCACACTTAGGGTTGGTTGGTTTTTCTTTACATTGGGTAAATACAAATATTTTAACAACTCTTTAAAAATATAACTCTCAGCTCAAGCACAACATTCAATTTCCCTTGCCCCAGGGCAGCTGCACACAATTTTTCCTGCAGAAAGCCACTTAAGGAACTGCTGCTTTTAGAAACAACATTTTTGCCGCAAAGTGGTGCTTCCCAGGGGCTTGTCCAGCTGGGAACACCATGAGGAGGAACCAGTGTTCATTTCAATATCTCTTGGGAACACGGGATTTGGGAGCATCCCCCTCTCACTGGAGCTTAATTGCTTTCCTCCCTGTGTTCCACAGCTGCGCTCCCGCTCGGGGCTGTGGGAAATCTGCCCCCCTTTTCCATCATCAGTGGGGACGCCATCCAGGTGGATCTAAATGTAAGTGCCACCCCTTTCCCTTTGACTTGGTGAGTTTGGGTAATTCATCTGAATGTGGTGGTTATTTGTCAAAGGCTCTTCTTACTCCAGCTGTCTTCAGGACAGTATTTGCTGGAAGGTGCTGATGAGTGTGGTCCAGCCATGTCTGTATTAATGCCACCGCTGGGTCTCTACCTTATTTTTACTTGCTAATCCTTGAGGGTAGCATGAGTCAGATTGGCTTGACACTGCTTAATTAAGTATAGTTATAGCACTCTCTTAGTTGTTAATCAGAAAAGCTTAACTTCACACAGGATCAGCGGTCACCTTTCACAAGCAGGTTCCATTTATAAGTGGTTTGTAAAAGTTTGGTATGTAATGATCGGGACCATAATCAGGCCAAAAATATTGGCAATGCGTGTTACTGATTTGGAGTTGTGATGATGTTTTAAAGGAAAAGCTGTGGTAAATGCAACCTCTGCCTGTCCTAGAACAGTCTGAAGAAGCTGTATGTTTATTAAAGTGTTAATTAACCCCACATGAGCCTCTCTGTGAGGTCTGGGGTGGGGGCAGGGTGCCCAGTGTGACCACAGTCCACTGAGCCCCACCAATGTCCCCTCCTCTGCTCTGTCCCCTGCAGCTCCTTGGTGGGGCCGTGAAAAGCAACGTCACAGCCTCCACACAGGGACCTCTCTCTGCCAACCTGCTGCTGGCCACCGGCAGCTCACCACTGCTCAGCCTCTCCCAGCAAGCCCTCAGCAACCTGCTGGAGACAGTCCAGGGACAAGGATCCTTCAACCTCAACATCACCAACTCCATGGTGGGTCATGACACCCCTCTCTGGAGCAGGGTCGTTGGGGTCCTGGTCGCTCTTGAGTGACCCAAGGGTGCTCCACTGTGTTTGTGGGGTCTGGCCAAGCCCAGCGTGGGCTTTGCACAAACCCTCCCTGCCACTGACACCGCTGGGGCTGTTTCTGCAGGTGCCCAATAGCATCTCGCTGTCCACGTCTGCCCTTCTCCCGTTCATCCCTCAGGTCAGCCACCCCCTTCGTGTGCATTGATCTCCAACCCCACCACCCACCCCAGCCACGCAGAGACCCCCTTGCCCTGACCTGTCTCTCCCTGCCCTGTGCAGCTCGCCAGGGTCCTCCCCAGCTCTCTGCCCCTGGAGCTGCGCGTGCAGGTGGCCGGTGAGCCGGTGGTGGATGTGAGGGGCACAAGAGCCACCGCCACCCTCAAAGCCACCATCGATGTCTTCAGTCCTCTCTTGCGGTCCTCTCAGAGACCCCTCCTCTCTTTCGACACGGTGAGTGTGCTCCCAGGGGAATGACACCTCTGAAACAGGGCGAGGGATGAGCCTGGCTGTTCTCCAGCATCCCCTTGGCTTGTCCTGCCCTTAGCCATGTAGTACTCCTACTTTGGAATTTACTACATCTTCAAACAGTGGTGCTCAGTCCTTTAAAAATTCCCATAACCAAACACAAGTGAAATGTTTAAGGAATAATAGAAAATAAAAACAGGAAGGGTGAACCCTGGGGAGAGAGATACATGATGCCATCCGTCAAAAAAATGCAATTTCTAGGCACAGACAGGTGTTTTTTCTCAGAATGGGTTATTTACAAGTACTCTGGGTTTTCTTTTCACCCTTGGGAGCTAGGCAGGGAAATAACCTCATTTTTTTTTTTTTTCTGTTGTTCCAATTTCAGGACATCGTTCTGAACATCATCCCGTCGGTCTCCGACGGCAAACTGCAAACCTCCCTGAGTCTCGACAGGTAGAGCTGAGCTCTGCGGTCGCTGTGGGCAGGGAGGGGGGCTCTGCCTGCAGACACCCCCAGGAGCCTGACAAGATGGGGCTGGTGGGAGTGATTGGGGAGTGCGTTGTAGACAGGGTAGAGATGTAAAGGGATGCCTCAGAGTTTTCCTGCCTCCTCCCAGCCCCAACCTCAGACCAAGTGCATATCTGAAGTGATAGGAGAGTTGTAAAAGAGCTGCTCTGTTTTTAAAATCCTTGTATCTTTACGTAGTGGGACAAATTTCGGACTGAGGAAGGGTCTGAGCAGCGTTTGGAAAACTGGAGAAGGGCTGCACTTGGTGTGACTCTGTCTTGTTTTTGTCTTTCATAGCATCAACCTGACACGGGCACCCCTGAGACTTGACCCTCGCAGTGTAAGTGCACGCTGCCTTGGATCGAGGCGTTGCAACGAGCCATGTGGTGGCCAGAGACCCTGCGCAGGGAGGGAGAACCAAAATGCCAATTCTTTTTCAGCCTCCACGTTTCTTCTTTTGGCAGAGGCCAATTGTTGTCTGCCCTGTCGATCCCCTATGCCCTACAGTAGTGACACTTGGATGTATATGTTCGCTTGTTGGCAGCACACTGGGGGTGCTGGGAAGGGGGGGAGGAATAACCAAGAAGAAATTACCCAAAGAGCACGTCCCTGTGTAGCCCCCACCCTCAGTCCTGGGAGAATTTCACTGAAGGAAGCTCCGCAGCCTTTGCATTTCGTAGCTCGGAGCATCCTGCAGTGATGGAACTGAATTGATAAGCCCAACATCACTCCCTTCATCCCAATAACTGCTGCTCTCTTCATCAGACAGTGACACATGTTTTTTTCCCCTGCAGGCCTCCACTCTCACAGAATGGCTCAAGCAAGTCCTTGGGGCTGCATACGTACCTGCCATTAATGGTATGGCCGGGGTCTGGGTCCCCTCTTGCCTCAAACTGAGCTGGATTTGGGGTTCTCCCCCTTTTCTCACTCCCAGTACTCAGGATTTCCACCCCATGATGGGACTCTTTCTCTTGCTTTTGCAGATGCCTTGAGCGTGTCTGTCCCTCTGCCCAACGTTCTCAACACCAGCCTCAGGAACGCCAAAGTTGAGATCACCGACGTAAGAGTTCCATTTCCCCCAGCTGCCCTCCCAGGGAGTGGGGGTCGTGCCCACCCCCAGGCAAAAACCTGTGGATCCCAAAGCCCCGAGCTGCCCCCATTTCCCATGGGCTGCTCCCAGTTTCAAGGAGATCCCTCTGCCAGTGGGGAGACCCACAGGAAAACCTCCTCTGGGATATAGGGAAAAGCTGGGGAAAGTCTGAATGAGAAAACTGAATAGTTTTTTGCTTTGCTTCTTCCAGGGTGAAAACTCTCCCAACACTGATCTGAGGAGATTCTGCTCGGGAGGACCCTCAACGCTGCTCGAATGAGGCAGGCAATGCACTGCCAGCCCCAAAGCCCTGCTCATCTCTGCTGTCTCTGTCTTCATTTTCCCTTGAGCACTGCCCTGTGTTGTTGCTGTGACCCGAGGGGGACGGGTGACCATCTCTGGTCAGCCAGTCCTGGTGTAGCCTGGCACTGGGGTAGGGAAAGCTGCTCAGCTGCTGGGTGTTAGGGGGGGTTTCTGTGGCCACTTTTAACATCTGTAGTTGGGAAGCAGAGCTCTTTCTTAGGTACAAAGTTTGCTCTCGTATTGTTCTTTCAATAAAAGCTTTCACTGTCTCAGTATTTCTCTCTCTGAATATTTATTTGATATGAGTTTTTGGCTGCAGCACCCATTTGTCTCCACCATGCCCCTATGCCATATGGCCCATGGACAGGGACTGCAGCCCCTTGAGGTGGCTCTACCTACAGAGAACAAGCCAGTACCTTACAGAAAGCATTTTTGAAACAGCCTGTGTCACAGGGTGTGAAACAGTAGCTCACATGGGAGCTGGGGCTTGGTCCACATGGGTGCCCTGCCTGGCTGGGTGTTGCTCGTGCCAGGCTGCCGAGGGGCAGAGGAGCTGCTCATGGTGCAATAATGGCACAGATTTAGCAAAGCTGACATTTCCCACCCATTTGGAGCCCTTGCTGCAGGGAGAGAAGCTCCTTGCTGGGGTCTCATTTGCAGCATAGAATTGCCTGGGTTGGAAGAGACCTTTCCGGTGATCTAGTCCAACCATAAGGGGACCTTTATGTTCATCTAGTCCAACCAGTATGTCCCACCTGGAGCCCAGTGATGCTTGTGCAAGACTCCGTACGGAGCCAGGCACAGATAAGCTGAGGTTACACCTCTCTCCTGCTTCATCTAGGATCATATTATCTCCTTATTGCATAAGATACACCAGGTTGTTAGCAACACGTTATCTCACAAAGATATTAAATGTTGAGGACACCAGGGCAGAAGCGTCTTTGTGGTCTGGAGCTGACGTGGATTGATGTGTCCCACCACACAGGGGCTTTTCCAAGGCTGAGGAAATACCTTCTGCTGGGAACGCAGCTGGTGGCTGCAGTAGCTGCAGGGATGGGTAGGATGATCCTCAGGAACTGCTTCTCAGGTTGAGCACTAAAGGAGAGAAAAATCTCCTGGTGCTTTTCTGGAGCCTCTCGACACACTTGCTGGAAACAACTGCTTCTCAGGTTGAGCACTAAAGGAGATAAAAATCTCCTGGGTGCTTTTCTGGAGCTTCTCCACGCACTCGCTGGAAAAGTGAAAAATTACCCAGGTACGGTAGTTTGTGTGTGACAGCCTGAGTGCAAGTGTTAACAGGGATTTTCCTGGAATAAGCTGATTTTCCAGCATGGCTATTTGGGGGTCAGAGTCAGCCTCATGTGCAGCAGCCCACAGAGTTTTGGGCTCTTTTCCTTTGCTTTAGCCCTGGGCTCTTGGACAACAGGGCTGTCCGATAAATGGGCATCCAGTAACCTATTCCAGCCTCACGTGCAGCAGCCCACAGAGTTTTGGGCTCTTCTTCTTTGCTTTGGCCCTGGGCTCTTGGACAACAGGGCTGCCCGATAACTGGGCATCCAAAACCTATTGCTCAATGCTTTTCCCTGTTTTTCAAATCTTTATTTATATTGGAATATATTAAAGCCACAAATGCTGCATTATACACCCAATCCACTAGCCCAGCTTTTACAATTTAGTCATCTTTCTACTTTTTCTGTATCAGCTTCGCTTTATAAAGACTCACTGTTCCTACACATTAAAGAAGAGGTGCCTATGGACTGCTGTAAGGTCTCCACTTGACCAAGAGCTGAGCATGGAAGACCGAAGGCAGGCTTTGAAATTCGGGATAAAGCAGGTAAATATGGTCAAAATAGTGGTACAGGGTGTTGCAAGCTTAGAGGGACAGAGCCACCTAAAAGCCTTGCAATATACGCTGGTGAGCAAGAAAAAACATGACAAAATACCAATAATGGTAGAAATGCAGGTAATTCATTCTAGTTTATATTTTGTGACCAAGGTGAAAAAAAAAATCAGAAAAGAAGGTTGTTATAGTAAAATGAAAACCCTTCTCTAAAGAAAAATTAAAATTAATTTGACACAAAAGTCAGGGATTTTTTTTGTGTGTGTTGCAATATCCTCTTAAGGTTGTTATTATTATTTTCATTGTTGTAAGGTTAAAACACACCATTTTTAAAAAATAGCCTTTCTTTCCAATGTGAATTGCTTGTATAATTGCATCATTAATTTGTATACCCATTTACAGGACAATTATTAGCAAGGGGAGCTCAGTGTAGTCTATAGGTTATGAGTAATGATTTCATACTTTAAAATTATGTCACGGTGACCAGGGATGGAAAAGAGCAGGTTGCCCGGAGTGCTCAGAAATAGGAACAAGCACACAGGTGCTGGGGTTGTGCAGAAGCTGTCTGGAAAAAGTCCCTGCAGATGTGTGTACAGATGTTGTCCTGTTCCCCCTCTTCGGATGTGTCCAGATCTATTTGCTGAATGTGGCTCTGACTCACAAACTGGTTTTGGTGCTCCTAAAGCTCATGTTTTCTATTCACTGAGAAATTTCCACCCAGCTTGAAATATCCAACTCCTCTTCATCTCCAGGGGATCGCTCAGCCGATTTCCACTCTTTTCCTATCGTCCCCCCCAGGTCCTGTCAACACCTCCAGCACTTCCAGCCAAGCAGAAGACACCATGGCACCAGCTTTGGGCATTGCCCTCCTGTATGCCCTGCTGACCCCATCACTGAGCCAGAGCCAGACAAAAGGTGCCGTCCTCAGGCTCAATAAAGGTGTCTTAAGTGATGGTGAGTCACTGCCTCCTCCTGGCGGGACCCTGGGAAATAGGAACCAACGGTGGTTCTTGGGGGTTGACACCGTGGTACCAGCACCACCTGATCAGCCAGGGAAGGGAGGGGAATTGCACATGGAAGGTGAGGAGCACAAGGCTTGTAAGCAAACCTCCCTCTCCAAACTGAACCTGGAGTAATTTTTCAATGTAATTACAATTTCACCCAGCCAGGCTCCTAAAAGGAGAAAGATATTGCTCATGTGGGAATTGCTTCTCCCGGGGTTCTGCACTGGTCAAGAGGTGTGAGCCACACAGCACCTCAATTATCTCACCTTTAGGATTTATCAATGCCCAAACCCTGCGACTGTGCCACACCATTTGCCGTCTTTCTGTTGCGACTGCAGATGAAATTTCCCCGAGCTGCTTTGCACAGGTCTTGACATGGTGCCTCCTCTCCTGGATCCCCACACCCCTGTTTCTGTTGCATCATATACAGGGGAAAAACTGACAGCAGATGGTTAGGGACTGGGATTGGCAGTGATGTCAATGGAGAGCACAACCCCTTCAATAACCTGTGCTTGAGGAGCACAATGAGTATTGATGCAGGCAGGGGGCTGGCAGCTGCCTGCTGGTCCCCCACTTGAAGGCTGCAGTGGTGGCCAGGGTGGTCTTACCTCACAGGCTGATGGTGGGTGATGTTTCCAGCCCTTACAGGCTCAGTCAGACAAGGCAATGCCCTCCAAGGTGCCCTTGGAGAGGTGCTGCTTGGAGACGGATGTTCCGGTGCAGATGGAAGTGAAGACCTGTTTGGTGGCCTCACAGGAGGTCTCCTTGATGGTGGTGGTCTTCTTGGTGGTATTACTGGTGGTCTGCTGGGCGGCGGTGGTGAAGGGCTGCTGGGGGTGCTAACTGGTGGTCTGCTTGGTGGAGGGGGCGATGCCGGTAGTGGCTTGCTGGGAAGAGGGGGTGGTGGAGGTGTTTATGGGGGAAGCCCCATAACCCATCTCAGAGGCTGGCCAGCATCTGGTGACAATGTCCCCAGGGATGGCATCCCTGCTGGAGGAGCGCTGGGACAGGGAGGTCTGCTTGGTGATGGAGGTCTCCTAGGCACAGCAGGAGACCTCGGTGGCCCTGGTGGCATTCTTGGCAGAAGAGGGCTTCTGGGCAACGGAGGGCTGCTGGGAGGTGGTGGTCTGCTCGGCATCCTTGGGGAGGGAGGTTTGCTCAGCACTGTCCAGGGGTTCACTGGATAAGGACAGCACTGCTCTGGGTCCTTGCAGGGTGGGGGGAACCTCAGAGGTTTTGTGGGGAGCAATGGTGATGTTTCAGCAGATGCTCAGATCTGGTTTGGAGCTGATGTTTTGAGATAAATGCATAAATTCCCCCCTGGTTTGTATTGCTGGCTACAAAATTGCATCTTGAGCTACATGAGGAAAGTTAAAGGAAACGGTAGTTGGAAGGCACTTGCCCGTAGAGGGTGCACCAAACCACGAGTTGGCCCTGGGCAGCTGGTGTCACTGCTGCCAAACCAATGTTTGTATCTGTCCCATTGTAACTCTTACTTGAAGCCCCGCACCAAACAGAAGCACAAGCAATAATAAGCCAACCAGGCCAAAGCTTCTGATAAAACTGAAAAATAACTGAGAAAACTTCATGTCTTTTGCCATTTCTTAACTAAATGGCCTCTGACTCGCCCACCCCTTTAATGGTGTCTTTGTGTGAGTGGCAGAGCCCGGGTGGTGGGGCATGTGCTGCTTCTGTACGTAATGAACTTGTTTGGAGGTAACTGCTCACCTCTCACTGCCCTCAGACCCTTGTGCCCTGCTGAATATAGAATCATAGAATCCTCTAGGTTGGAAGGGACCTTTAAGATCATCAATGGAGCATCCCCTGGAGCAGAGTTGTCCCAAACTGTCTCAGGGACCCTCTGCTCAGCCAGAGACCTGGGAGCAACCCCAACCCCCCATGGTATCCTCTTTGTCCTGGCTGCTCTGAGGTTGTCCCATAGGAGCTGTGATGCTCAGGGGGATGCTCTGGGGTCTGCGTGTCCCATGGCAATTTGGGCTGTTGGGTGCTCTGCTCTGGGCCACATTGGGAGAGCAAATCGAGAGAGACCCCAAGTAGCTGTGAGCAGCAACAACCACCCGTGTCGGGGCCCGTGTCCCTGCCATGGCTGGGACATGTGCAAGGGGCTGTGTGGTGCTGGGTTGGATGGGACCTGGTCCAGAGCATCCCCTGTCTGGGGACACGAGCCCCTGCCCCAGCACCCAGGGGCTGTGGGGAGATGCCTTACTGATCCCTCAGACCCATTGTGTCTGCCCCAAACATGTGGTGTCTGAATAGTCAGAGGGGACAGGAGGGGACAAGCCCAAGAAGTGGGGTGGCCATGTGCCCTGGCCAGGCAAGAGAGCCAGTGGCCACCACACTCAACCTGCAGGAAGGAGGTGAGCCCCCGGGCTTGCTGGGTGCTCCTGGCCACGGTTTGGCACTGCTATGGGAGTGCTCGGGGTCAGGCTGGTGCAGGGTTCACACTTGACAGCCAGTGAAGAGGAACTATCCCAGGCTTCATCCTTCCCTGGACTTTCCCTGTTCCTGCAGTCCAAGTATATAAGGGCTGCTCGTGCCAGCCACCGCCGAGCGGCCGTGGGCAGCTGCACCGCAACATCAAAGGGCTCCAGGTAAGTGGCATTAAGGTACCGTGGCCACAGAGCTCCTGTTCCCATTAGACGACCTACAGCAAAGTCTAACTCAGCTTAAAAAGCAAGAATTGTAATGATGTTTCCCTTTGATTCCTGTAGCAACGTTTAATGATTTATGAAAATTAATTTTTAAAGCTAGTAGAGCTCTTGCTTGTCAAATTCCACGTTTATTTTTGTTGTTGTTAAGTTTGTTATAATGACTAAGCTAGCAGAAATGACTAGGATTTTTTTCATTATCTTGGTGACCAGAATTCAGGACAATTTTCAGCTTCTCAAATCTCATCTCAACTGGCATAAAATAAGCATTTATCTGCAAAGCCACACATGCATTTTGTTCAGATCTCTTAAATGCATGTGACCAAGGAGGTACCAACCAGATAGATATTGCTAATAACTGCAGAGATAGTTGTCTACTTTGTCACGTATTCTGTCTAAGAGCTCTTCTGAAAGACCTGACGACCATTTTGGCATTCTTTTACAATGCTGCGCACGTCTTGCAGAGACCCTCCAACAAATCCCACTGATTTTATTTGACACGATTTTCAATGGAAGCTGCTCAAGCCTCTATCTTTCTCTCCTGTTCAATAATCACAGCTACAGGAGCTGTACATCATTACATGCTGATCAAAGGCAAAACGTAAAAGACAGTCTAGTGAATTAAAGTCTAATTTAATTGTGCCAAGAACTGTCATAGAGGGATTTTTTTAAAAGTATCTGGAGCAGATAAAGAAGTTGTTCAGTCTGACCTAAATAATGTTATTTCTCAGTGCTGAACCTCAAATCTGCAGCCTCTACATTGTTTTTCTCAGAAGAGACAGGGTTTTCAGGACGGGATGTGAGCTGTGCGGGTGGGTGCTCCCTTAAACCAGCAGTGGTTCAGCGGGCGCTTCTTTTCATTTCTTTGCAAATATCTTTCTGTGTATAAACAAACACTTCAGAGTGTTGGTTGCAACCCCAAGAAGTCCAGCTTACGCAGGAACATGAGGTCCTTGAAGGTGCTTTCTTTTGACTAGAGGCAGATCAAATACAGGGAAAGTGGACTCTCTTCATAGCCTGAATAGAGCAAGATGAGAAAAACAAACAACCTGTCCACGGAAAAGTGAGTCTGATTTTGGCTGCACTTTGAGATTTAATAATGCGAGGTATTCCTCATAACGAGGAGAAGGACACGACTTTGACACACATCATTTTTTATCCCGCTGTGCCCCTTAAAATGTTCTTCTTTCAGGGCCATTTACGAGCTGGGGGAAGCCATTCGTCTCGCTCGGTACAAGGTCCTCCTGCCTCATCTCCATCCCTCTTGCTCTCTTTAAAATGACATTTTCTCCCCCCAGGCTTCCCTGCAATGTCAGGCACCCAGCTCTGCAGTGGGGTAGCCCAGCCAGGCATGGAGACATCAATGACTCTAGAGGAGCATGTCACTGTGCTCTTGTTGCTCCCTGATAACCAGAAGCAGTTTGACCTTTCTGGGTGGGAAAAGGGTGCTGTGGGTCCCAGCTGGTCACCTGTGGCTGGGGGACGGTGCCTGTGGGCTGCATGTCCAAGGGGAACCCATCCCACTGCCCCAAGGCAATGCAAATGAAGGATGGAGAGCCAGACCAGTGCCCAGGCTGTCAGTTCCTGCACAGCGGGGTTGATGTGAATCTCTCCACAGGTGCTGGGACCAGAGATGCTGCCTTTCTGCTGTCTTGTCCTCCTTGGGGGCCTCCTGCCTACCTCCCAGGGCCTCCTCAACCTGGGTAGTGTCCTTGGGCTGGGCCCAGCGCAATCCAAAGATGGTGAGCTCAGAGTTTTTTTCCATTTTTCCCAGGGGAACATCATAGCACAGGTGACCACGTACCCACCTTGGTCCCTGTGAGTCCTGTGCCTTGTTGGGCTCATGGAGTGTCTCTCTGCTCATCAGAGACCTGCTTCCTGGCAGGCTTGGCTCCATGAGGAACCCAACATTGCACAAGGATGCTCAGGGATCCCTGTGAGACCTCATGAGCAGGTCAACATAACGTAGCTGAAACAACTATTCTTGTCAATGAAATATTTCCAACAGTGTAAGTCTGAGTAGTAACTGGGACTTCCTTGGTGCAGGTCTGCTTGGTACTGGTCTTCTTGGCAGTGAAGGTCTCATCAGTGGAAAAGGTGGCTTGCTTGGCACAGGCCTTCTTGGTGAAGATGGTCTACTTGGTACTGGCCTTCTTGCCAAAGGAAGTCCGAGTGGAGAAGAAAGTGGAGGTCCCCCTGAGCAAGAAAATGAATCTGGCAATTCTGGGATCCTTGGCACAGGCCTCCTAGGTGAGGAAGGTCTACTTGGCAAGGGTACACTTGGGAGAGGAGGGCTTCTAGGCAATGAAAACCAGAACAGTAATAGAGACCTGACTGTTGCAGGTGGACAACCTGGCAGCAGTGGTCTGCTCGGCACAGGCATCCTTGGTGGGAAAGGCCTTGGCACAGGCATCCTTGGCGGAGAAGGTCTTGTCAATGGTGTCCTCAGCAATGGTCTCCTTGGCAATAAAAGCCTTCTTGGAGAGAAAGGTCTACTTGGCACAGGGCTGCTTGGAACAGGAGGTCTCCTAGGCAATGGAAATCTACTTGGTCTTGATGGTCTTCTGGGTGAAGGACTGCTGGGCGAAGGAGTTCCTCTCATGCCAACACCGTCCTCCTGGTAAGTCAGAGCAGAAGCACAGCAGCTGTGCTCACTGCAGGGTAACAAATAACATTGAGAGGAAGGGTTCCCCTAAAGAGATGCTCCAGGGGACCACTTCCTCCCTGTTATACAAACCACCAGTCCCAGGCTTGCAGCTCACGTGAGGAACTGCAATGCGGAAATTCCAACCAGAGATGGGAAAAGTCTTCCCCATGGGAGCGATATGACACTGTGATGGGTACTCCAAGAGGTGAAAGAATCTCCACCCTTGGAGGCTCAGCAGGACATGGCCCTGCACAACCTGACCCTACTTTGCAGTTGGGTCATCCTGGAGTGGGGGTTGGCCCTTCCCCACCTTCACTTTTAACTGAGAATATCCACATAGGTAACAGGTCAAATGAAGAACAGGATGAAACAGGACTGCAGGGTCTGCTCCTGCTGATCCTGCCATCTCAAGGCAGGTTTGCCTCTGTGTTGACCCCCAGGTTGAAGGTGCTGAACCTTGAGAATATCCGAGTGTCGTGGAAAGTCCTTCGCGGGCCCGAGGTCGTGCTGAACCTGTACTCGAAGCTGGTGCTGCGCTTGCCGGGGTGAGCAGGGCTGGTGGGTGAGACAGCAGAACGAGGCCACGGGGGCCTGAGGGTGCTGGGGAGGACAGGAGATTCTGGGTGCTGGAGAAATGTCCTCAAACACTGAGCAAGGGGCTGGTGAGGAAAGCCCTGCGCCGTGCTGCTGCTGCCTCTCCCTGGGGATATTTCCAGTTGTCCTCACTCTAAAGGCACAGTGCCAGTCTGTGACAGCCAGCAGAGGCAGAGGTCCTCCTGTGGACAAGGTGTTGGGAGCAAAGTGCTAAGAAGGTTCCATGCTCCTTCATCTTGACTTGTCCTTTGCCTGAATTCAGGACTGTCCTGGAAACCCCTCGGTTGCACGCTGGGACTTCAATGACCTGCTAACAGGACCAGGAGGCTGATGGAAGTCCTGAAACTAAAACATCATCCCAGCTGAGCCTGAACTTGCAGCTCAGCCTCAGCTACCGTTCTTCTGTGTTGCTTTGGTCTCCTCCATAATCCTCCAGGCCACTTCCTTATTTTTCAGGATTTTTCACTTCCTGAGCGGATCCTCAGTAGAGACAAACATTACATCTCACATCGCGCTCACCCAGGACACCCCGGGAGACCTCAAGTTAGTGGTTAAGGATTGCAAAAACCTGCTCGGCGGCTTCAGCGTCAACCTGCGGAAGGGGTGAGTGTGGGAACGGTCACCATCCCCAGTCCCGTGTCACACAGCGAGGTGATTTGCAAGCACAGATCCATCACATGCAGGAACTGAGCCTCGTGTGACCCCCCTGGGCTGACCAGGGGCTTGACCATGGCCACCAGCTTAGAGCATTTCACACTGGAGGCAGGTTTCTTCCTCCCTTGCCCCTGAGCTGCCCAGCCAGGGTCTAGACTTGAGGCCTCCTGGTGCTTCACAGAGAAGGTTTAATTCAGTGAAAATCTCGGGGGCAGCATGCAGGGTAAGTGGCAGGTCCATTATCCAGCCATGAGGAGCCCACAAGTTTTTCTCACCAAAAAGCCAACTTTTTTGGAGACACCCACAAGGGGATGGGATATTGGTACGTGCACAGGGAAATAGTTAAAATAACAGTCAGGACTAGCTCTTTGCAAGTTTGCAGCGGGGCAAAATTTCAGGCTCAAATCCGGGCACAGATTTACTCATTAACAATCAAGATTTGGAGAAGTGGCTAACAAAGTCCTGAGCATCTGTAATTCCTGCCAAAGCCTGGGGGAGCTGTGGGCTTGCAGCATCTTTTAACACCAGAGACAAAAGAAGAGAATCAGTGCTCCTCCTGCAGACCAGAGGAGGAGTTCAGGTTTGTCTTGATGCTGAGCCCCCGGTTTTGACAATTTCCCTGCTGATTTTTGGCTGTCTTTTTCCCTTTCCAGCTTCCTCACCAACATGGTGAGCCATGTGCTGAACACAACCCTTCAGACCTTCGTCCCCGCGCTGGTGAGTGCCTGAAAGTCCTTCGCTGTGAGAAGCTGCACTTCAACTGGAATTAGTGCCCTAGCCGTAATTACCTAGCAGATTTACAGATACATGCACATATACATATATATATATTTGCATGCACAGATAGATGCCCACATCCCATAAATGAATTCCGCAAACTTCCTTGATCTTTCTTACAGTCAGGATCTATTTGTTAGGAGTAATTCAAATTCCATCATGCAATGTTACGGGATAATTTGTAACCAATTGCTTTCTGAAGCACCTCCTGGTACCGAGACGGTGCGGTAAGCAGAAGTGACAGCCTCACTTAGGAAAAAAAAAAAAAAAGGTGCCTGTTAGAAAATCTTTTATTCTGTTAAATAGAATCTGTGCTGTTTTGAGAAGAGAGCTGAACAATTTATACTGCTCTTTTTCCATGGAGGAAACCGCGCTCTAGGAGCTGATTGTTTCATCTTGATTTAAAGTCTGTGAAACTCAAATGATGTTAGGGGAAGGCATCGCTACACCACAATACTCTCACCAAGGCTGTGCCACTTCTTCCTCTTGCAGCTTTGCCCATTAGTGAATATTTGGGTCAGCATCATCAATATTAAGCTCCAATTCCTCAATCGTAAGTTGTCAACTTTTCTTTTCTATGTTAATTTTTAGAGTGACACTTGAGTTTTGCATGTTGAGGCATCTCCACAGTCAGGGGATGTCCTCCGGAGAGATGGAGCCATGGGACAAGGAGTTGCTCGGAGCAGGAGCAAAGCTGCCGTGGGTGGCATGTCCCGGCTCACCTCCCGGCTGCTGAACAGGGCAAAAACACCCCGATCCTGCTGGTCTCATGGTTTTTTTCCTAACTGGGGCCAGACTCAAGCTGCTGCCAAGAGATACAGGCCCCTCCGGGACCCCCCCACCCTGGTTTGCAGCCCCACCGAGGTGGTGGGTTTTCCCACCCCAGCTCTGTTCTCTTCGAGTCCCACACAGATGCAATTGTTGCTTCATTCCATGCAGCATTGTCCACGTTTACCCAAAACATTTCCCATGTGGTGAGACATGTGCCTGGTAGCTCCAGGACAGCAGCTTTCATAGGAAACTTTGGACCTGGGAAGGTTTGAGATCTGCAGGGAGGACAAGGCGCTAGGGTTGACGTTGGGCAGTGGCTTTGCTCTCCCAGATGCTCCAGGCAGAGCAGAGCAGAGGTCCCCGCAGGCTCCTGGAGAGGCAGCCAGCTCTGCCCAGCCCTGAGAACCTCTCCCTTTCCCCAGGTGTCGTCTCCTTTGGGCTCCTGGGGAAAATCCACTCTGCCCTCTCCAGTTTGCCATTGACGTCTGGGCATTTCATGGAGCTGGATTTGCAGGTACGGCCATGTCCTGTCCCTGTTCCCTGCCCTCTGCAGCCTCATGTGCTTTAATGCCTCCTTGTTTGTTTTGGTTTTTGTTTTTTTTTTCAGAATTCCCCATTCCCAAGTGCCTTCATCGACTGGCTGCTTCAGAGTAAGTCCAGCCCCAATGCTGTGATGGGGATCCCCCCTGGTGCCTGTGAGCCAGAAAGGGGCAGCAGCCACCGCCGTGGGGATGCCAGGGGGACACAGGGGTAGTGACCAAGAGCAGGGAGTGGGTCCCCATGGCCACAGGGTGCAGCTGAAGCCATGGGTGGTGATGAGTCTCAGGGTAGGCCCCCAAAGCGCTTCCACCCCACATGGCACATATTTGCTGGGGGGTGATTGAGGTCCCTGGTCCTCAGAGACATCCTTCAGCTCTGTCACGGGCCAGTTTACCCATGAGCAGTGGCTGCTTTGCTGCGCTCAGTGGCTTCAGGCGTACGGTGGCGAGACAAAGTCTGTGTGCTCCTACTTATGTCCTGCACAGCCCTGGAAAAGTCACTTCACCTCTCATAAAAGGATTTAATAATATTTACTTAGTAGGAGTGAATAATGGTCCTCAGGATGCTGCGAGGATTAATTAATATTTGCAGAGGTGATTGGAAGAGCTTTCAGCTTCATATGCAGGCAAAGTTAATATATAGAGAAGGGAAGGAAGAGTTGGAAGCCGTCCCAGCTTCCCCAGAGGCATATTCCTCAGGGCACTAAATCATCTCTGCCCATAAAGCCGGGGGCTCTCAGGCCATCGGCACGTCGGGTACCACAGAGGCTGAGGCTCGGGGGGCACAGAGGGGCTGGACTGCACTCACCTGCATCCCTCTCCCCCAGCCACAGATGCCAGTCCTGGGAGCATTGAGTAGCCGTGGGGTCAGCAGCACCATGGGGTAAGGATGATTTGCTGGCTGGGGATGTGGCTCGGAGCTCTGCTGGTCGGATGTGCCCGTGTCGGTGCTGGTGCCCAGGATGGGCAAGATGAACCCACCGGGGCTGACCCTGCTGCCTGGCAGTGGGAGGTGATGGGGAGCACGGGGCTGTTGCTCTGAGCTCCCGTGCTGCTCAAAACCTCAGCTCCAGTGTTCCCCCCTAGGTGCCCTGGCGGGTGAGTCCCACCGCTTGGCCCCAAGGAGGAGGAGGAGGGAAGGAAGATGACCCAGCACCCATAGAATAGATATGAAAATGGAGAAACCCGACCATGAATATATGGTATTTCTTCTGTGTTACATGTCAGCCTTACCAGTGTCTCTGTTCAGCCCAGGGTTACCAGTGCCGATGGTTAGTCTTGCTGATGGTTAGTTGTGTCAATGGTTAGCCATGCCAATGGTTAGCCTTGCTGATGATTAGCCATGTCAATGGTTAATTATGTCAATGGCTGGCCATGCTGATGGTCAGCCATGCCAATGGTAAGCTGTGCCAATGGCACTACTGACAGCAGAGCCAGAGGCAGGAGCCCCAGGTCATGCCAATGTGCCCTCCTGGCTGTCTCGGCCACAAGTCCCTCATTATGGCAATCACTGACAAGGCACTGCCCTGATCCTCCAGCTTTTCCTCACACACCCCCTGGTTTCTCCTGGACCAGGGGCTGTGGTAACTTCTGGGCCCAGGGGAGACTTTCCTGGTGCTGGACCAAGGCCACCTGGCTGGTGGCAGCGATTTGTCCCCAGCTGCCCCACGGGAATTTTGGAAGTTTGCACTAACTGCATCAAATTCCTGTGAAGGGAAAACAAAAAAGGGACAAATGCTGACGAAATGTAAACGCTTTGTCTTTGCTCTCCTTCTGCTGATTAGATGACCATTTCAAAAGGAAATTTTGCAGTTTCTACTGATTTCATGCTGTTAAAAAGAAGGCAAAAAAGACCTACAGTCTAATCCAAATGTGTACTTAGCTGATTTGTTCCCAAAGAGTTATGCCTTGAACTGATCAGAGAAAATGCTATCCTGTCTTATAATCTCCAAGTGGATTTGGATGTATTGAATTGTGGGTGAGGTGGATTCACATCCCTTCTGTTGCTCCTTACAATAAAAAGGATTTTTCTTCATCTGCATTCAGCACGTGATTTGGTTTCTTTCCAAACTGCAGAAGGATTTTTGCATTTGCAAGGGTTTTGTTATTTATCTCTCCTATCAGCTACAGGGGTAACTCAACATGCAAAGAATATTTAGTAGATAAGTCTGCTGGAAAGGTGGGGAACCACAGTGAGCTGTGGCCCCAGAGTCGAGTCTAAGTCCTGCCGGACCCTCTCGCTGTAGTTAAATTGCCTCTCGTGCAATTTAACTACGGGAACGTGGTCAATGTGAGAAATAAATATTCCCCTCATTTGTATTTATGCAGATTTATTCTGCCCTTGTCCCTGAGCTGCTGGTTCTTTTATTCTCCGTTCCTGTTCCCCGCTTGTTGCCAGTGAGCTGGGAGCTGTTTGACATGAACAAACACATCCCTGGCACCCCGCTGGGGCAGCCCCCCCGGGCTGGGGCCGGGACCCCGGGGGTCAGTGGGCAGTGAGGGCCAGCAAGCTCTCGGGTGCAGGAGGAGCTGCTCCTCGCACCAAAATGTGTTTGGGGGGTGGGCTGTGCCCACAGCCCCTCTGCAGAACAGCTGCACGGCCAGAGCTGCTGGGGATGGGGCCAGATTTAACTAAATAATACCTTGAAAATTCCTGCTGGCCTTTTCACAAGCTGATGGGGTGACTGAGGTGCCCCTAATACCCAGGGACTCCCCTCCAGCCTCTCCTGCTGCTCCTCGCTCCTCTTACCTGGCCATGGCAGCCGGTGAGGGAACAATGCCCCGAGCACTCCAACCTCAGCAGGGGGGGGTGGGATGCCACCCCCACCCTGCCAATTAAATGCAGAGGTAACGATGCTATCGAGCTGTGGTCATTAGGGCTGCAATCAGTGCCTGTCTCCTGCCTCTCGCGCCGGCTGTAATGAGCTCCAGTGGGCTGGGGGCTCTGGGAAATTGAACTTTATGCCAACGAGCTGCATGTGCTCAGCATCACGAAGGTGAAGAGCAGAAGGTCGGGGTGTCCTTCGATGGCAGTGGCAGAGCTGTGAGGGGAAGGGCAGGGACGGATGGCATTGCCTTGGCCCGGGCTGCCTAATACTTAACGCCTCGCTGGGCACCTTCGGTTTCCAATTCCTAAGGAAACAGAAGGAGCTGAAAGAAGGTGCCAATTCCCAGCCCAGGCTCACTGGCTGTGAATAATTGCAAAGACAGGTGTAAAGATTTCCTCGGTAACCCTGGAACCAAAAATACCCCAAAGCAAATCCTTCCAGGTGGTGTGGGGCCATGGGGGTGGTTCTCACCTCGGTTAATGCAGAACAAGAGCCAGGTGGCCATGGGCTCCTGTGAGCCCTGCAGAGCTGGTGGCAGCACCCACATTGGGGCAGGAGCCCTGCAGAGCAGCTGCAGGCAACAAATGAGATTGATGTAAGGGAAGAGGCAAGAATTTTGCACTGGTTTGATGCACCAAGATTAATGTAAAATGGTGCCACAGGGGACGTCCGGGCTGCTGGCACCATCTGGCTCCACTGTGCGAGGTAGGTGACCCTGGCACAGCTCACAAACCCTGTAAGGGCATCAACATGGTTTTGTGTAGAATTTCCCCAGACTGTGCCCAGGGGCATCACTGAGTGGGTTGGGGCCACCCAGAGGCTCCTCTCATCCCACTCATCCTCACTGCGGTGGCTGGGACATGTGTCCCCATCCTTTGCCGGCAGGAAGGGACGTTGGATGGCCACCTGGCAGAGCCCCTTGGCCAAGCACTGCTCTGAGAGGTGCCAGCTCCTCCTGCTTGGCATCACCTTGGGCAGTGTTTGCCTTTGTGGGGTTTGCTCTGACCACACGCCGTCCCACTCTCACCCAGCTTCTGTCAGCACAGGAGAGCAGGAGGTGTGGGCCTGCGGGTGAGGGTTTACTTTGGCCCACGTAGACGCAAAACCAAAGCCCTGAAGGCAAACATCAGGCTGGGCTTCCCCTCTGGCTCCGCTCTCCTCTTTCGTAAGCTGCTTTGTGGTTGGTACAAGAGCACCCAGCCCTACCTCAGCTGAGCAGGGGTGGGACAGCAGGACTGGCAGGTCTGAGCATCTCCCCGGCTTTTCCAGGGAATAAGGCCATGAAAGAGCCGTGGGAGGATGAAGAGAAATCCATCACCTGAGGTGAGGAAAGGTATCGGTGAGGGGAAACAGCTGGGGAGGACGGGCACTGAGGATGCCAGCCAGGTGCAGTTTGTCCCCCAAGACTTGGGGCATCTTCCTGCTGCCCAGAGGATCCCAGCTTTCTGCCAGAGGTACCATTGCTCCTGGGAGGCCTGCACTGTGCTTTCTTCTGAGCATGGGATGAGGAAAGCTTTCCCACCAACAGTAAAAAGGGCTTTTCAAAATGGAGTTTTGATCAAGAAACCATGGGAAGAAGCTTTCTTCAAAATATCAGGGCATTTCCCTTTTTTAAAGAGAAACTGGTTTTTTGAAACGCCTGCGGTTTTGTTCTGAGAGCTTCAAAGAAAGCCTCCTACTATTCTTTTTTAAACTTCCTGTGATTAAACAACAGAATGACAACATTAAACAAAAAAAAAGAAGCAGCAGGTTAATAGATGAGGCTAATTAACCCAAAGAGAATGGAGCATCTTGTTTAGGCTCAAAAGCCCTGTATCAGCTCGACCGAAAGTGAATCTTGTTTTTGTTTCTGTGCTTCAGCCATTACCCTTGGCATCTTCACGGATGCAGAAAGGGGAGGAGGACAATTCTGTCTGGCTTTTCATTTTCGCAGCAGTGCGCTGAATATTAATCAGCCCAAACCCAGTGCTGTAGGCACTGCTGCAAATTACCCGTTCTGCAGTCGGTCGTAGTTTGCTGTGTGATTTTTGCATGCAAGCCAACAGCAGGGGCTGGGCAAGCTAATTCTCCTCTGTGACCTGACTTTGCAGATAGCAGACACGCCACGTCCCCGAAGCACCCTGATAGCTCTATTAGAAATGCCACTGTACATCAGGTTGTTGTCATACCAGGGTTTCCTTTCAAGGCATCGGGCACCTTTCTCCTCCTCGTTAGCGTGAGACGTGCTCGCAGGGAAAATGAGGTTTGTTCTCACATTAATCCTCTCCCGGGGTGGCCGACCCAGCCCCGCTTCCCACCCTCACCCTGCCCCGAGCCCTGCAAGTGGCTCCTGGAAATGAAGCCCAGGGAATGCATTTTTTTCCTGGTCTTAAGGAGATTTGGGTGTTTTCAACACTGATGGGTTTTGCTTTTGACACTGCTGAAGATACAATGAGATAATGTGAAACAATTCCCTTTCACTTCTAATTTCCTAGAGGAAGCTCTTCTAATAGGGATGAGAACCTGCTGGGCACATGAAGCACCACACCATGTCCCTGCAGCTGGCACATTACAATATACAATTACAATATACAATAGATGATAACGTGTACTTATTCATTGCACAGCTCTCAGATCAAGGGCTCCTGCAGCTGAGGAAGAGGCCATTGGCTTTGGCCAGGCTGTGGTTTCTTCTCTGCAGGTCAGCAGCTGACGTCGGCCCAGCCATATCAGCGTGGGCAGAGCTGCATTCTCACAGCACGGGGCGGCTACACCATTCTGAATCCTTCTTCGCTGGTCAATCTCGTGAGTTCTCCAGGTAAAACATCAACATCGCTGACAATCTCCATGCTGAACACTGAATTTTGGCAGTATTTTCCTTCAGCAGTGGCTGAAGCCCGTGTTCCCATTGCTTCTGCTGCTCCAGCTCCGCTACATCCCCAAGCCGTGCCCGTGTTGAAGCTCCAGTTCCTAAACCCTCAACAGCACCAGAAGATCTCAAGTCACTCCTGCAAGGAGATCTTTTGGTTTTTCCACACCAGCTTTCTAGAAG